CGCCGGCGGCAGGGCGCCGTCGCGAGCTAGGAGAAGGGCGGCGGCGGTTAGGGCTGTTGGCGGCTAGGGTTTCCGGCTCCTCAGTGAGCCGGGCAATAGGAGATAATATTCTTCTTATTGCTTGCTCTCAAACGATGTCTTACACGAATATTTATAACTTTAACGTAAGATAATTTGCTTAAGATAACTTATGGGCCAAGCCCCTAATACTAATGCCCGATAGACCTCTTCCTAATATATACCAAACCGGTCATAACAGCTATACTATAAACTCCATGTACGGTAGAGGTGTCGCCCGCCTTCTTCTCCATGGGCACAAACCTGGCCTTGATGGAGCGGACCCCTGACGCACCGGTGCACCATTCGGATCAGGGTTCAGGGATCATCCTCTTTCCCGCCACATATACATACATCAGTTGTTTTTTGTTGAATATATGTGTTATGTGTATATTGTGTATTAAGTTTATTTTCTAGTTTTTTGTATAGTTGAGGTCCGTGATCCATCTCTGTACATCATATATACGTATCTATGCACAAAAGCAATACATTGTGTAATCATAATCTCATACACCCTCCGTCTAAAAATACTTGTCACAAAAATGAATATAAATAGATATATCAGTTTTTGAGATTTTAATCTCGCCTTCGGCTGCCGCCGCCGCCGCTGCCCGCGCGTCGTCTCCCGCGCCAGCCGCTGCACCCCCGCTCCTCCGCCCGCTCGGTAAACTGCCGATCGGCCCGCCGGCCTGCATCGCTAGCTAGCTACCCACCCCGTGCCCGATTCCGTCAGCCGCCAAGTCACGCCCGCGTTCACTCGCCTCCATCGCCCGCTTTGCCAGCTCACTGCCTCGCTAGTTCCATCCGCTGCTGCCTGCCACGCATCGCTCCACCCGCTGCCTGCGCCGCGTCGCATCACCCGCCACCGCCAGCCGCCAAGACGCCTCCAGTCGCAAGCCGCTTCGCTGCTGCAGTTTGCTCTCTGCCGCCCGAGCCGTCCGCACTGTCCCGTCCTAGCTATGTCGTCCGTCATCTCCTCCGCGTCCACCAATTTCAACCCGTTCGTCGATGCCAACCCTCCCGACGTCAACGACATCCGCAAACTCAACATCTTCGAGTGGGTGCCGGTTCGTCTCTCGCAGACGGACTCCTCCTACTACACGTGGAAAACGTATTTTTCTTCGATCAGGAGCTACCAGCGAGAAGTCCCGAGATGCTCGGTTGAGACGAGGGACTAGTGCTACAACAGGACATCACTAGCGCAGTGGTTAGGACTTAGGAGAGATTTGTGATAGCGGTCTTTGCCGGACTGCATCAATAACTGTGAACTGACCAGGCCTGAATATCTAAGCACTGATGGCTTCTCTACATTATTGAAGTGGTGTCAATCAGAGGAGAACAATATGAAGCTTGCTCACATTAGAGAGAAAGTATTGGTGGCAACATTATATTGGATGTAATACATCTTATATTATGGGACGGATGGCGTATCTATTAGGTTGTCTTGCTTTCATTCTAGAGCCATACATGCTCTGTTGTTCTGATCATACTATTTCTGTTGTTCAGTCCTTCTCAACAGCCTATTAACGTCAAGTGGATCAAGGATGAAAACAGAGCCCAATCCATGGTAGCATGATGAAACAAGCTGCAAGCAAGACAAGGTTGAACAACGAATCCCCAATATACATGCCAGGCCTCCAATGCCTCAAGTTTTTTTGTGCGAATCGATGTAGCCGGCCTGATTTCATTTTTCTATACTGACTCGTGATAGGTGTTTGCCAAAGATGAAATGTTTGTTTAGCTCATATATGACGATTGTTGATTTCCAATTGGATTCACTCTGTTTCGCTGCCATGTGTAACGAGCTCTGATTTGAATATACATTTTGCAGATGCTACCCCCGTTTCACATTTCTGGGCGGATTGTTTCATATGCATAGATGGTGTAGATGTCCAGCCTATTGGATTGTTCACAACCTCAGACAGATGACTTTGCCTGAGGTTGTTATAGCTTGTTTAGACTGCTGGTTTTACCTGCAGCAGCAATCAATCGATGTATAATACCAATAGCAAAGGGTTAAACAAACCAAAGCTGTTGACCGAGGTTCTCCTGAGATTCAGATATTTGAACCTGATATTTCCTACGAGGTGACTACAGCCGGTTCTGTTGGTTGCTGATGGCCTGAAGCCTAAAAAAACTTGCTCATCCATATAGCTTATAAGAAAATAGATTAATTATAGGTTTGACCGTATCAAGAAAACCCACTATCTGTACTGGTACTCGAATACAAACTACTTATTGGACGAAAAACCTCATGCACCAAACTACCCTATTACAAACACACAATATAGAAAATGGTTCTAGCTAAACACACAGTACATGTTCTGCGTTGATGCGGGGACGGCTGGGTTTTTTCTCGCTGTGATTTGAGACGAAGCGGTGGTGCAAGGCGACGCAGTGTGGGCTGATCCAACGGTTAACATGCCTGCCATCCAATGGTGTGGAAGGGGACCGATCCTGGCTCAGATAGGTCAGCCGGCGAAGAGTGCTGGCTGGTGGAATTCCATCTCTTACATATATTGATCTGACTTCTCCCCGTGTAAGAGAAATGTCTCACTCATTGAAGGCATAGCAATATGGACGCATGATATATAGTCTAGGGCTTCTTTGATTCAAAGGAATTATATAGGAATTCTGGAGGATTGAAATCCTCAGATATTTTTCTTATGTTAGTCTTTTGATTCATAGGATTAGATCCCATAGGAATTTTTTCTATGAAATCTTTTGTACTACATTTCATAGGAAATTTAACATCCATTCCAACCTTTTTTTACAATTCTTTTTTTTCTATGGCATCAAACACTCTTTGCTAATCCTACAGAATTCAAGTGGGCATGCCACTCCAATCCTCCACTTTTTCTATTCCCGTGTTTTCAGAATCCTGCAAATCAAATAGGCTCTTACTTTTGTAGGCAATAACCATCACCCACTCATAACTCACGGGTCATCTTAGATGGGAATTTCCTTTACATTCGGGTAGTCGAGCCCTTTTCTTTCCCCTCTCGCAAGGCGAGTAGGGAATTCCTTACTCCTCTCAATCTTTGTCGGAAAACCCGTGGCTTCATTTCTCCTATGCCCGCAGCTCCGGTGTTCGATGGCGGAGAGGGGCTTACTAGTGCCTCAGCTCCAGCTAGTAGATAGGTAGGATTTTAGTCATCGTAGGGGCGGCGGTTCTTCTTCGAGTCGGTCTTCCAGGCTCCGATCCTCCTCAAGTTCGTCTATCAGGACGGTTAGACAAAGCTCCGACGTAAATTACTGCCAACTCCTCGGGGCGGTGAGGGTTAGGTTTTCTCACCATGCGTATGCAACAACGAGATTTGGTACCAGATCGATTTAAGGATTCAACGACAATGACTGCGACTCTGGGGCGTTGGTTCTTATGGGCATGTCTACAAAGACTTCCCAGCCATCATCGACAAGGTCGGATTGGATCCAGTATGGGAGCAGTGACAACGGTGCAACAGCAGCTCGTTTTGACGGCGACAATCGTCGTTCGGTGGTCCATGAACCTAGATGTAATTTTTATTATGTTTGATGTGCTTTGTACTTCTGACAAATCTTTATAGTAGATTGACTATTTTCATTAAAAAAAAGGTCATACATACATACTCCCTAGCTACATTTCAGAATGTAAGGTGTATTGATTTTCGTGCAAGTCAACCATTTGAATGTTTGACCAAGATTATAGAATAAAATAGCAACATCTAATAAATGAAATATGAAACTACTTTTCATGATGGATCAGATGATGTAAAATTCATATTGTGGATATCGAAAATATTTTTATAAAAACTCAGTCAAACATGCACTCGTTTGTTTTCTGAAAAAACAAATACACCTTATATAAAGGAACGGAGGGAGTATATCATAGGGTGGATTGTTGAAGCATCACACCACATGCTTGCCTGGCCCGGCATATTCACATTATTCTCCGAAAAATTGATGATTGCTTACTTGATTAATTATCCTTCAGTTGAGTTCGTTCCATAAAAATAGTCTACTAGTTGCCAAACCATGTCCTTGGTGGATTGAACCAGTTCG